AAGAAATTCACATGTTACCGGGCAAACTGGAGAGTACGGTTACCTTTGAAGATGGTAACCTCTATAGATCAATTTTCTCAATGCTGTAGGGATTGCCATCATAGAGCCTACCGTAGGCTCAGTTTTACCCACTAACGTATTACTTTATGTGCACCTTTCAGTCCAACATAACCTCTGGATTCAGAAAAACATATAATTCGCTGAGCTTTCTTAAAGAGTTATGGCCTTTTTCATAAAGCTATCTCAACAGCAAGCTCAACCCTGATAATTGTTCAACTATTTCAGTGACATATTCAAAATGTCTCTGAATCATTCCTCTTCTTGTCATCACCTATGGGTAGAATCTGGCTCATTGCTCATGCAATTCAACTAATAAAATTTTATTCTAATTTTCGAACAGTATCTCAGTGTTGCTAATGAATGACACTGAAGTCTATGCCTTATCGATTATGATGCGTGATTTGTGCGCTTCGACATGAAGTGATGATTGATCATTGGTACGTTTATTGAAGAATCTTCTTCATGAACCTGTAAATCTCATTCAGATCTTAAGTTCTTTCTCAAGCTTCAAGCACCTTTTCAATGGGACCACTTATTTCGGTCCGTTACGCTATTATGAAACATTGATTTCCTCAAAACCGCTTGTGTCACTAATCTCAATCGCCATCGGGCAGAGATGTAGAAAGCCTGTGGCGATGTGTCCAACCTCATTTTCTGAAATCATATTTCGTTTTCCCGAGGCAAGCAGTTGATTTTTAAATTTTTTNTTTTTTCCGTCTTCCCGATTGTTTTGTGTTCCATTTTTCATTTATTTTTAATGTAATAAAGGTTAGATCGATAAAACAGCCATATTGAATGTATGCAAATTATGTTTGGCCTTTTCAGTTCGTGAAAATCCATCTTTTGGTTTAATATTTTCGTTTAGTTCGACTGGTTGATGATAATTTCGCGGTAAATTGTTGTTGCGATAGCCATGAGAAGGTGAACATCTCAATTACTATGACGAGTTGCTGGTCATTTCTTGTGATTAGGTGGATGGATTTGGTCCCACTTTAAATCGATTAATAATTCCAGGGAGGATGTCTCAATTTCTGGAGAATTACCACAAAAGCGTCGCGGATCTGCCAGACAAACTGAAAGAGCACTTTGTTGAGATCGGTCGTCTGGATGCCGAATGTGCAGCCAAGGCAGCACAAGTGGATGATAAGATGAAGGAGTTTGTGCGCAATCGAAAAGCGCTCTCAAAAACGGATTCTGAACTTGTACACAAAGAAATAATGGTAGTGATTTCATATTTATATCTATTGTAAAGAAAGTTTGTCAAAAGATCGGTGATTCAAGTTAGCATTACGCATGGAGATATTTGTCTAATTCTAGTGAACAACCCATTCCAGTGTTCTCGTTTTTTAGTTTATTTCAATGAGAAACGTTTCAAATGAGGACTTCAGGATTAGCAAAATGATGGTGTTGTTTCAGGCTTTATTCAGTGAAATGCATCGCCTATCAGATCAAAAAATTCGCCTCTCCTCGGATGCGTACGAACTGGTCGACAAACAAATTCGTAAACTTGACGATGATGCGGCCAAACTACGTTCCTCAATGCGCCAGAAATTCATCGACACGGCTGGCCGTTTAGGCATCGACGGAGGTTACTTGCATCCATTGGTTTCTAGTATTGGTTTGGTTTTTAGCTAGAAGTTATCTCAAATAATCAACACTGATTGTCCGGTAAGTTGGTGGATTCAATTTGCTGGTGTTATCAATTTTGTTGTTGAGTTGCTCATCACCTTGAGCGTTTCAGACGAAAGTGAAGCAGACAGTAAAAAAAGGAAATCCACCAGCCGTAAACAGAAGAAGAAGGACGACGGAAGCGCTAAAAACGTAGCTGAGGCATCGGGTATGATTGAAGTTGTTCCTTCTTCTCATTGAATTTCAATTGGATTCGTTGAAATCATTCACTGCTCATTGTTGCGAAATGTGATATTAAAAGCAAATAATAATGTATGTTGATGCTGTGAATTTGGACATTCGCTCTGAAAGAGAGCTTCTTAATTGGATTCCACTAGGAAAGGTATTCTTTCAACTATGCTTTATATTCATACTCATTAAGGTGCTGCCACTACTCTGCAACCGTTCTTGGACACGACGCCTATCATTGAAATGCCAGTCGACCCCAATGAACCCACATATTGCATTTGTCATCAGGTGGCAGTTACCTCCTGACTTCTTTCTTTTCTAACTTTGAGGCATGTTGAGAAATTGCGGAATCATTAATGATACATAATCAGTTTTCGTTTATCCTACAACTCATTAATAAACTGGTGCATCTCGAATATGCCTAATCTTTTTGAGACATCCTTTTTCCAGGCCAAACTGAAACTTCATCAAATAAATTGAATCACTTAAGTTATCGTCACTGACTAATTTCTGGTGTTGAAGGTATCCTTCGGCGAGATGGTAATGTGTGATAATAAGCAATGTCCAATTGAATGGTTCCACTTCCAATGTGTTGGTTTGACTGAGCCACCGAAAGGGAAATGGTTCTGCGAGCGATGCTTGGAGCAGCGTAAAAAGAAAACACCTGCTGCATCCGCTTCAAGAAAACATTGAATTTGTTTCTGTATGGACGAGTATATCGTGTTTGTATATCTGTGTAATTCATCCTTATGCCTTATTGATTGGTTACATTCCAACAATTTGTACAATCCCTGTTTGCTGTATTATGAATGGTTCGTGTTGATAGTTTACCGGTTTTATCAACGATTACTTGCCAGTTTGATCAGTAATACTGATTCATGCCTGCCAACTCATATTGATCCAATTTAAGAAAGCGTTCTCGCAATTCTCTTCGATACTTTGCGTGCATTCGCTGGAAATTCTGAATGTCCGAACACTAGGTAAAAAAAAAAACTTTAATTTTCAGTTACCACGCTCGGTTGACTAAGATCTGATCTCCCGATAAGTTCAATGTGCTTCTTTCTTGTTGTATAGTTTTGAAGGTGTTTTTGTTAATTATCATCATCATTGTTGTTGTTGTTGCTCACTATGAATTGTATCAATATCATCCGTCATGTGGAATTTTATGATCTCAGCTAATGAAACTTCGTGAATCTGAATCACTGTCCAACCTCTCATATCGTTATGCACACCAGATTTGTTCCAGAAGTATCATGAAAAAATTTATTCAATACCAACAAACGATCAAATGAAGTACAATTTACGAAAAGATGTAAACAATAAAAGCGCGCATAAGTAAATAATATCATCTTAATTTGAAAAATGAGAAGAAGATAAATGGAACAGCAGCAGCAGCATTAGCAAATTCAAACGCTCACATGCAATCGAAGTTGTGAATGATCGCAAACACCCTCAAGTGCTCGTATGACGTTTTGAAATCTATCAGCTAAGCGATGAATATGATGCGATATCTCAATTAGTAGGCCTCGATCCCATCACTTACTGAGATATATATCCNGGGATTTCCGGGAGGGAAGAGGATAAAATAATGAGCAATTTTTGCGTGCATCCACTCTGATGATTACGAAGCAGTGAAGCCATATATACGAAGAGATTCGATACGTCTGCGTTATAGGATTCTTGAGAAATCGCTTTATTACTCCGGGATTATAGCAACCAGCTTTTCAATTTATCTTGACGAAATATTGCTCATTATCATCCATTGTTTGTTAAAATATCACAAGTTTTAACGTTTAAGTTTATCACAAGTTTATCACAAGAATTTCCACTAAACAAGCATTCTGCAAACTTGTAGCCGATTTCATCAACTAATGAAATTTGTCAATGTCGCTAATTCAAGCATACACTTATGATCGTCAATTGATTTATAGGCAAAGATTTTCAAAGAGCTGTAAGGCTTAATTGCAGGAGGTAGATGATGAAACGCTGATTCAAACCTTCGCATAAACTCATTATCTGTTTCGAATCTATATTTCGTCTGAGCATAGACATTAGCAATTGAAAACAATGGAACACAACGACATGCACAATGAGTACATTTCAGTACGTGTATCGATGAATAGAAACGAGGTTCCGGTGAATTTATAGGCTTTTTCAACGATACGAGCGTTCGTATGCAAACGAAAAACTGCCTCCGTCCCCTCGCTCAAGTGGAAGATACATTGCTCAAACGAAACATCAGTAATCACTGATTAATTGTCAACCACAATCTTGCCTTGAGTACTTACTTTCTCGTAATGGTACTACTGCCCGAAAGTGATGTAACCAAATGATGAAATCTATCAATGCCGCTAATTCAAGAGTAACTGATGGGTGTGCAATATGTTTGAATAGAAATTCACTTTTCAGAATGACAAAACATTGTGAAAGCGATAAAGCAATCACATTAGACAGTACTGATGGTAATCTTCAGAACTGACGATGAATTCGCGTCGAATATGCACAAAATGATAAGCATCTGAAGTTGTGATATCATAACCATAATAATAACGATAGCACATGACAAGTGGAAGTGATAAAAATAAGGAAACGTGGATTAACAATGAAATTATCATTCGCTGATAACCGAGCAAAAAGCCAAAGAAACGACGAACAAATTCTATACGGACGGATGAATAATCAGAAATGAAAATTTCAATAATAGCGAGATGAGATGAGCGATAGACAGAACACAGATATTGATTAATGGCGATGGTGATAACTGAATCGCATTTTATCATTCAATTGAATCGATCAAAAGGCAACGGTTCAATGTCGAGGATTGATAAAGAGTGCACCAGCAGCATATGATACTGATGAATCACTCAGGGAACGACACTGAAAAGTTTCATCTTATAAATAGATTCGTTCAATTTGTCGGTATATTTGTTTAAATCGTAATAGATTTGTCTTACAGATTTCTTCGTTCTAAATCGTATTTTATCACCATTCGATAAGAAGAGTAAACGTTGTTTCATGACATTAAATATTCAACACTTCGAAATTCCTCTCATTAATAAAGTTTTCATTTATTGATCTCTAACAATTTTCCCAATAACATACGGCCGCAGCAGGTACGGTGATAATGCTAATGGCAACTGGACGATAAAGAACGTTCACAATAATGAAAAGTGCCAACCTGATTAGACTGAGAATATCTTAGAAATCGTAATTCAGCTGAATGATTGTTCATCTGACGGAAATGTTCTGCGGCCTGAAAATTCCCATTACTCAAGAGCACAGTAATGAAGATTGCGCAAAAGCGAAGAGTCTGCTGATTACAATAAAAGGACTTGGTATGGTGTAGAATGTTCGGATTCAACAAAGTATTCATCAATCATCTTCTATTGATCGTGAAACAGAAATGTTGTCATCGAAGCAAAACGATATAATGAATGTACTTGTAGCATGACACTGATTGGATTACGTCCACATATTGTATTTTGTGTCTTCTTCAAATATTCATTAAAGGCACCGGGCTCAAGGCATGATATCGCTTCCATTCCCTGAAATCAACACGAACAATTCTCTCCTGCAAAATGGAGACTATCCGGAGAGCAATGAAATTTTTTGAATGATTTCATATTATTCATCGTACGAATCTGTTGTATCGGATGAAAAATTATTGGAATAATTCAAAATTATTGAAAAATTAATCATCAAGTTTAATGGAAGAAGAGAAGACCTGTTTATCGAGTGCGGCAATTTGTTCATGAATTGGTATACCCGTATTGTGCTCATATGGTGTGAAGTGAAAACGTTTACCTACAGAATATATATATGTCAATGAAATAGTAAATATAATGACAGTAATGGTAATAACTTTAGCAGTAATAATGATAACGATACAATAAGAAGAATACAGAATCAACGATCACAATGATAATGATAACGATCACAAAAACAAACCCCAATGACAAAAATCAGAGCTGATAACGAAGAGATTCCTTGGATCGGCGACATATTTTGCGAATATTTTACCGTAATTTGTCTGCCTCGACGATGACA